GAAGAAACCATGCTGATTGGGGGAAAGTTTGTTTTGGATCTGGGGAAATAATTTCGTAAATATGCACATTTCAAAAGCCTTGGCAAAGTTTGATAAAATGGCAATCGGTCTGTAATTACCAATGCCGTTGACATTACCGGACTTGAATACTGGACAAATCTTCACATTCTTCCAGGCATCCGGGAAAGTATTAGTACGTAGAGCCAAGTCAATCTTAGTAAGCGGTTTAGAGAAGACCGCTGCACAGTCTCTAACAATGAAAGAGGGAACACTATCAGGTCCTGCAGTGACCTTAGCTTTCAGTTTTCGCAGCGCATTGAGAACATCGGATTCATCAAGTCCAATCAGGGAAACACAATTTAGTGGTAGCTGTACAGGACAGCCATCCCAATTGTCCTGCTTCTGTTCGTATACACTTCGGAAAAATGATCCAAAAGCATCCAGTATTTGAGATGTGTCGGAAAGCTGAGTGTTTTCGTATTCCATAATGCCTGGTATGCGGGAATGTTTACGCTTCTGGTTCACAAATTTCCATAAATCTTGAGGTTGGGTTTGCAGATTGTTTTGGTCGTCTGTTCATATGTTGAGTAGGCCTCTTTGATTTGTTTCTTAGTGAGTGCGCGAAGACGCTTGAAGGATTCTAATGCAATAACGGAGTTGGTGCACTTGTAAATTCTGAACTGTCTGTATTTTTCTTTTAAGTTGTTGATTATATCCCTTGTGAACCATGCTGGAGAAGTCCTGGAAGTGTTCTGTTTATCATAAAGTGGTATTACTGCATCCATGATAGTAGTAACTTTCGTATAGAAAACTCTAACCATATCATTTACGTTGTCAAAATGCCCTGTCTCCAAGAAAGACCAATCAGTATTAAAAAATCGGTCGTATAATAGTGGGTAGTCCGCTCTGCGAAAATTGTATGCTTTTAGGGATTTCCTGGAGGAGAGATTGGAATGCAGTTGCGTGTCAATGTTACACGTAATGTCTAATGTTGGGTGATAAGCATCTTCGGGTAGCAGAGGTTCAGCCTTGCTAACCACACATGGCAAATCAGATAGTACCAAATCCAGGTAGTTGCCAAAAATATTAGGCGTGGAGTTTGAGAGTATTGACTGAAGTTTGAGAAGGCTGGCTGAAGAGGATAATATTGGCCGGAGAATATTGGCTGAAGTTTGAGAAGGCAAGAAACTCATGAAGAATTAAATTCTTTCCACAGCCAACCCCGGGGTTTTCATAATAATGGATATTAAAATCTCCAAGTAGAACAATGTTGTTTGTGTGTAAATGTAAGAAAGATTCCATCATCTCAAAGAACAGTTTGTATTCATCTACCGGTGAGTTTGGAGGGAAATAAATGAGAAAAACATAGACAGCCGTGTTTTGCACGTATACTCTTGCTGCAACTATATCCAGCAAAGGGTAGGTATATCCTCATGGAACAAATTTACATTGACGGAGATTGAACTAAATATTGTAGGTATTCCAAGAAGAACACCTCCACCTCTAGTGACTCCCAGGCATTCAAGATTGCGATCCTTGCGATAAACTACGTATCTATGATCGAATAGTTCACAGTCGTAGAGAGAAGGTTGAATCCATGTTTCTGTAATGGCCACTATTTGATTATCTAAAGCACATATGGTTTCGTAAAAAATTTGTGTTTTAGTGTTGAGACCTCGTATATTTTGATATGTGATAGTAATTTCTTTTGATGAGACACTATTAGGCAAATAAATCAGTTTAAAGGAGTTTGATGTGTAGATACTATAACAGGAGATCCATCCCTGTGTACAATTTTTAAATTAGTCTCACCAGCATTTTGTCGTTCAATCAGTTGTTCTCTTACTAGACGGAACTCGTGAAGCTGACCCTTAGTCTTGTCAGACCTTAATGATAAGTCTCGAAATTTTGCCATTGTACTAAGAGATTTCGAGTTTTTAAAGACTTTTATAACAGTTTCTGGTGAAGGACAGATAACTTTAATTGGTCGATTTCTGTTCTCAATATATCTTCCAAGGCGGAATACTCTGACATTATCTTCATTGATACTTTCGTTTTCACAGGATTGCTTAAGAATGTCTAACGCTAATGTTTTATCAGATGTTGAAATATTTTGAGTGTTTGAATCAGTACTATTAAATATTAAAAAGTTCTTTTTCCTCTTCTCTCTCTCGTAAAACTCCTTCAATAAGTCGCCGGAAGCAGTCGCTGGGTTTTGAGAATTTGCAGATGTTTTCATTAAATCGAGTTCTTCACGAAGTGACTTAAGCTGTGTTTCGAGAACTATGATTTTCTGCGAAGAGACTTTTGCATTGTTTACCTCGCTCAATAGTGTTTGTATTGTATTGTTTTGCTGGTGGATAACGTTATGTAATTCGCTTATTACTCTAACCAGGTCTGCTAGACTTGGTTCAGCCGCAGAAAGAACATTATTTATGTTTACGTCGCTTCCGCGATTCGAAGTTTCCGTCACAAAGCTGTCACTTAATTGTGTGTTATGTAATGGACTGGTAGTCTCTGCCATAAAGCTCCTCCTCTGAGTACTGCTGAGCACTGCATCAGATGAACCAGCGCCGGATCCGGAAGGGGGCACACTTGGATTTGAATTTTCCTTACAGGAAACGCAGAGCCATGCTTTATTTTGCTTTAAACATGCTTCGATTTCAACCCTTGTCAGTTGGGCGCAGAGCGAGTGATACAAGCCCTTGCAGCCTCCTGAACAACCTATTCTATAGGAAGTTTTACCAATAAATTTTTTACAGTGTTTGCACGATGTTTTGACCATTATAGAGGAATTTGGTGCGAAAACTCTTTATGATAACAAAAACAAGCAGTTTAAACGATAAGGAATTTAACCAAAAGAGAAAAAAAATAGATCGATATGAGAAGACTAAACGAATATTTGGAATTCCACACGTATTTGTGTATGTTATTAATTGATAATTGCTGGTATATTAAACAATTAAAGAAATAATAAAAAAAAGAAATTGTGAATTGCTTAGCAGAAGCAAAAACCATCCAATGCTTGACAAAAACAAGTTTAAATAAACAGGATAAAAGGAAAAACAACGATAAATGAAGGAGCGAATGAATCAGCGAACCGGCATCGGCAAGTACCGTCGATATAAGTCAGATATAAGTTATTATACAGGGTGACAATTTGAAAACGAACAGTATTTAATATTACCTCTACCGATGATGGTATGAAAATTTGGCGAGAAATACGTCAATTTACATATCAAGTGGACAATTTTTGAGGCATTTGTTGTCGTGTTACTTTCAACCCTTTGACCCCCAGGGCACCTACCCCTAAAATTTTAAATGGCAACCCCTATTTTTTTACCATTTTTGTGTTCCTTATTTTGAAAATAATGTTTAACAGAAATCGGTGTTTTTTTTAAATAACATCACAGGTACAACTTAACAAGTATAGCTAGAGACGTGAGAAATATAAAATAAGAGACGCCCCTCGATGCGCAGTGGACAGCACATAAATTTGCTTTAAACAGATTTGTCGTAGCGTAACTGCATCTCTCTTCCGCCGAATGCGTTCTCTCTATCGTGTGCGCGACCTATGCTATCCCCAAGTCTCTTCCTATATTTGTCAAACTGTATGTAGTTTTTTTTAGAAAATTTTACCACCCTGTATCTCAAAAGTTAAGATGTTTAGGACATACTTTTTCATATAAAGTTTTATTCTTAAAGTAGGTCTAAGTATCACCACCTTAAATATTGTCATTGAGGAACGCGATGTATAAGATCTAATTATAATATTTTACGTGAGATATTTCAATAGTAATAATTCATAAACAACGTTTACAAAATGCCAATAATATTTATATAAAAGATGCCAAAAAGTCTGATTCATTCATATTTATTTATAATCATAGTTTTTTTTTAATATTCGTTATATGTATGGTAATCGCAAAACAATTTCCGATGCCACGTGATCAACTTCAACCGAGGGTGCATCCACACTATCCTAAAAACGGCGTATCGGCGTAACGGCGAAACGACCTTGAATAGATTTCCAGTAATTCTATTGGCTGAAAAATTCATCTGTCAGAAATTTTATCTGTCAAATTCATCTGTCAAAAATTTTAGCCAATAGAATTACTGGAAATCGATTCAAGGTCGTTACGCCGTTACGCCGTTTTTAGGATAGTGTGGATGCACCCTGAGTGACAAGCGATTGCGACAGCGCTGCCAGATTGTGATGGATTTATGAGATGAATCTTAATTTAAAATTGACAAACAACATATTTATTATATCATTTTTTAAAGAGTTTTACGTTTTATTTTTAATTTAATAAATAATATTTAAGGCACAAACTAATAATCACAGAATTTAATAAAAACTAACTTTGAAAGTGGTATAATGTGCTTATCAATCAAACTTACTTTACTGACTGCAGTCAAGGGTAATAAAGGACCTTTATTGTCACATTCTCGTTCAAAATAGTTTTAAAGAAACAGGGAAGCTACAAGCTCTTTGCATCGACTGTTTAAATGCTTCGGCATATTTTCAACATACAATTTCAAGAAATGCAATACAAAAACTCGAATATTTAGTTCTTAAAAGAGCTGTTTGTGCTTTAAAGTGCAATTTTTTAAAAAAGACTATGAGAATAGGCAAAAAAACGAGACTTGCTCACAACACTAGGATAATTGTCAAATAATAAAGGACAACATTGCTGAACACGGCGCAATGTGACCAACACAACGATAACAAAATTCGGTTTAAACTAATTTTTTCAGCTTTAGTCTAAATAAAATATCTGTTCATTTATCAATCATTTGCTCTATAAAGAAAAATGAAGAGCTGCTTGGTATCTTAAACTATACAAAAAATTTAAATATTTTTGCCAAAATTTTATTTAGTCAGGTTTATAGACTTTAGTGTCAATGTCGATATGATTGATGACGTGCATCGAAAAATGTTTTGCGATTACAATATAATAAGTAATAATAGAGCAATTCCTATTCGTACAAATTATTACCTTCACGCCATTATAGAATTGATGGGAATTAATTAGAATCGGAACCCGACTCTGATAAGCACAAATCCTCATCCAAGGTTGCCAAATTACGTTCGCTGACATTAGAGGCAAACCCATTTTTAATTTTAGTATTGTCAGGATCATCACTCTCAGAATCACTATCGCTGCTTGAACTCGAACTAAAAAAATATATATTTATATGTTATGTCACAGTAAAAGTTGGAAATCAGTGATTGTTAACAATAGAGAACAACGGCATACGGTCGAATCGGCCTACAAACACGTAAACGTTTACGTACGCATGCGCATTTCTTATATTTTCTATTTTTTATACACGTAAAAGATTCTTTACGTCTACTGATACGTGCCAGGAGCGGCCGACTCGACCGTATGCCGTTGTTCTCTAATTACTAGTATAGTAAACGCCACGAATGTTTGGGACTGATTTATCGGTCGCTACCATGTGAACTAATCTGTTTAAGGCTTTGAATAAGAAGATTAAGGAAGGAGCATAATGCTATCTATGTATTCATGCATGGTGGGCGGAAAAGGCGCCATAAAAACACTCTAGGGTGGGGATCCTTGACAGTTCTGTTTGACGATTCATTTGACACATTTGAATTTGATTTGAAATTTTGTGGATTTGTCAGTCTTTACGGAGCTTCTTTTATGTTATTTATTATTATTCTACTACTGATAGTTGTATAAAGGTAGTAAATCTAGATGAAAATTGTGGCAGCACTTAAATTAACAGTGACACTATCGCGATTTATCGAAAAAGACTCTAAAATAGTTGGTTGTGTAGCGTGCGGTAGATCTCGGCAAAAATTGAGTGAAATAATGGAACAACTTTTCGCTAGTAAGTGACTATATAATATACATACGTGTAGTAAACCGATCATTTATGAAATTCACTTAAATTAACTAAATTATATATTTTTCTTGTATTTTAGCTTTTATTTATTACTTGTCAAAGATTAGATGTCAAAGAATTTAGATACGTTAATTTGACTTACCTGCTTCAGTAGCGTATCGGATGTTTGTGGTAATAAATACTTATTATAACTTATCTATTTTTATTAGAATTATATATTTTTATAACAATTTTAATAACTACCAACATTTATTCACAACGTAAAATAAAACAACAAATTATTGAAGCTACCCCACGTCTACCCTACATCATAGTTTTACATTTTTTAAATAAAATTAGAACGACACTGATAAACCGGAATTTAAGTCGGCCATATTTGAGGCCCATCGCGGTGTACCTAAGATTTTTGATATGCTCCTTCCTTAAGCTCCGTTCTGAGAACTGCGTCGTGTCGACAGCGACACTGATTGACACTTCAAACGACCAATGGGAGCTGTACTAAATTTAAAATTGACAGCTGTTTGAATTTTGTACAAATCTGATTGGTTCTTTTGTCGTGTCGCTGGCGACAGTCGCAGTTCTGAGAACGGGGCTTTAGTCTTCTTATTCAAAGGTTTAAGGTCACATAAAACTTAATTCCAGTGCCGTGGTGTTTCAAGTCATTATAATAATCAATATATAATCTATTGTAATTTGTTGTTTTAACTGTCAAAGTGTTGTCAAAACATATATTTGGTTATAAATATAAAATGGAATGCCCCATTGGTCGCACTGCAAGCACACCAATGGACTGACGCACAAAAACGAATCAATCAAAGAAACGCGATATAGTATCGTCTTTGTCAATCACACTAACATTTTAGAATAAGTAGGAGGAGCGTAGGCAGATGATTAGACCGGGCCGTTACAAACCTACGTCTGCGGTAAAAATTTACGTTTTTAATGTAAAAATGATGAGCGCGCGTGTCCATTCTAACTTCATCAAGAGATAAATCACTCCCAAACATTCGTGGCGTTTACTATAAAAGCTCACATTCACTGATTTGCTAAAACTACGCCAGTAAAAGTTCAACAGCTATTTTTGAAACCAACTTTTACTAGCGAATGCTAGCCAATGCTAGCATTCCCTGGACGATAGCAGTGAGTTTGAAAGATTCAGTTAGCGCGGTTGCCACACGTTGTCAAATATAAGGATAAGTTGAATAATAGGCAATATAAGGATAACATTAAATTAGGCTAAACGTTGTTGACGACATCTGGCGACATGTTTCTTGTGGTTATGTATAATTGTTATTGTTTTGTTATCGTTGTAATGTGCGGTATTTTCCCTATGGAAGAAATTTTCTGTGAAAAATTAAGGTAAACTAGGCACTCGCAAGAATTTAACAGTGCTTGTTTTTCATTTTTGCAATATAATGAAATCATTGCATAAGTTAAGAACGCAAGAGAAAAAGATATTAAGGAACCTAGTGACTATGAATTTATTAAACATTGTGATATGCTTGATGTAGCAGGTTTGAAAAATCGGATAACTCCCATTGAAGAAAATTCAGGCATATTTTATTTTGTCCACGATGAAGAACCAAAAATGTTTATTATGTTTTCCCTTTTAATATTCAGAAGGTTATGTCTTTATTTTCTATAATTTTTAATAAATATACTAAAGAAGTAAATTGTAATTTTACGATATATGGATCAGCTTGAATATTGAGGTGATCCAATATTCTTAAAAGTTTTATTTGTTCTAACTTCCACCAACATTCTTCCTCACCACACTCGGCTTGTACAATAGAATAACTTTTACTGGCACCCTTTAGTAAATGTTACTTTCACTGTAGTGAATGTTAGAAATTACTAGGAAAAGTCGACAAATCTCTTTAAAATACCACATTCACTGGTCCAATCTGTAATTCCTAGCATTTCCTAGTGAACGTTAACAATCACTGAATTTCCGACTTTCACTGTAACATACACACAATTTTTATCTGTCTATGTACTAAAACTATAAATAGTATTTATTTTATACCTATCTGTTATAGTACCAACGCCATTTTCGTGATCACTATGATTGAATGAGGGGGAATTTATTTTCCCATTATTAGTATTATGCACTGGTAAAGCTGGAAAATGATTATTGTGGTGCTGTGATTGTGACATAACCGATGGTACAACCGGATCAGCAAAATCATCCATTCCAATTACCGGAAGACTGGCAAGTGTACTTGGATTATGTACCCTGAAAAAGATAATCCTTACTATATAATATTTTAGAAACATTTTATTTACTCATTAATGTTGGCATGAAAGTCTCTTGATCTTCCAGGGCTTATCTGGTTCATAGAACTTGCATTTGTGGATGGATGCCCAGGGCTGGCTCTTAGAGGAGAATGTTTTGGCATTAACTGGGTAATTTGTCTATCGGGTCGGCGACTGCCTGAAGTTACACGTGTTTTACTTGAAACTCTATGCCCAACATTAGGTACTGGGGGAGTAGCTGATCTGTGTGATAAATTTGAGTTACCACGGTCGGAATTTGAGGGCTGTAGCTTCTCTGAAAATACAGTAAGCTATTTAAACAATCATAAAATATAAATATATAATAACCTTGGAGCACTGGAGCTTTATTATGTTCGCTTCTAGTTTTTTTCACTTGGATATTACAAGTAAGTTTTTCTAAAGTGATCTCCCCAGTATCTCTATCAATAATAAGAACACATTCTTTTGTGTATGGTCGTTGAGAACCCTTAAAAACTGTTTGTGTCGTACCTGCCCCATCTATAATGTCAAATCAGTATGAGAACTATTTCTTTTTAAAACCAATACACTCACCTAAATGAGGAACAGTAACCATAACTTGATGATTATCCCCCACATCTAAAGTAGCATTCTTATTTGTATCAACAGAAGCTGGTTTAAAATCATCTAAAAATAAATTGTTACTTTTATTAAAAATATAATGTAGGTGATTTACAGTCATTAAGAACTTTAGAAAATTTTAAACAGTCTGTTTGATATAATATACCTAACTTACTATAAATAAAAACACAATAGTCTTTATAATTTTTGATATGAGTTTAGAGGTGCAAGCTCTCAATATTTTAAAGACATTATAAACAGAAAACCTCAAGTTTACATACAAACTTACATCTAACAGTATGAAATGCCTTGGATCTCGGATTTGTAAAACTCTGGCCTATTTTTAATTCTCTAATTTCATTGCCCAAACCTAATCTATCTGCCATATTTTCGATTTACTCCATTCCCTTAGGAAATTCAATTCTAAAAGTAAAGTCTGTAAATCTTTACCACATATGCAAGGGTGTGATTTTTCGTTATTTTTATAGATTTTGTACATTAGACTAACATATTTAACCACATTACACTTATACAGAACTTGCTAATACACGTACCAAAAATTATAAAATAATATTGACCTACTTTATGACATTTTAAATGACAGATAGGTCTATTTGAACTATTGTGTATTATGAAATGAACAAATACGAAATGAACTATTTTTAAATCAGTAGCGAGCGTCGGTCGTCATTTTCCAGGAGCCCTTCTAGTTAATTATTTTATGCTTCTACCTTCTATGGCCATAAATAGAAATTAATAAAAATTCGAAAATATTTTCACATTTACTTGAAAATATTGCAACGGCATGAGTTCTTAGAAACTCTGTGATTAATTCGAATAATGCATTAATTTTATAAATTAAAATTATACAATGTTCTTGTACAAAAAATGCACCGAACTACCGAACATTGAACTTTCTTCTGATTGGGCGAGGTGGGGATGAAATGGAAATTTCAGTAAAATGTCGGCCATGTTGTGGGGAAGTGTATTATTTCTGTCAAATTGATGAGTTTTTCAAAGTTTTTTAATTGAAAATGGAAGAACAAAAGGAAACAAAAGTTATTTATCATATAGACGACGAGGAAACACCATATTTAGTGAAAATCTCTATATCACCAAAACAAGTTACTCTTGCAGACTTTAAAAATGTTCTTAATAGACCCAATTACAAGTTTTTCTTCAAGTCAATGGATGACGATTTTGGGTAAAGTTTATATTATTGGAGTCTAAATTCGTTCTTTTCAATATCTTTTAAATATTTTGACAATAATACATATTATATTGAACCAGGATTTTTTTTTACAATCTAGTGGGCATCTCATATTATCAGTAAATGTAAACATCAATCATTGTAGATCATGAATGATTAATTGCTATTCATGTCTTTTGTATACAATTATATATTCGAAAATTGTATTGGTAGATTATAAGTTTAAGTCTTAAAATTATTACATTATATTAAGTCTTACATGTTTATATGGCATATTAACACTATTATAGTCATATCTTGTTAACATCGTAATAACATTAATAAATTTATTATTAGATATATTAAAAAAATAATTAAATATGTTTTTTTTAATTAGGGTGGTCAAGGAAGAGATTATTGATGACACTGCACATCTTCCATGTTTTAATGGAAGGGTAGTCAGTTGGGTAAATATATATTTTCTACCATGTTTTTATGTGGATTTATTCACTACATATAATTTATGTTATATATTCTATTTTTTTAAAGCTTGTCTCAGCTGATGGTTCAAATCAGTCAGATGGTGGTTCTCAATGTACAGATAGTGTTTCACATCAAGCTGAATCAAGACTTCCTTCACAAGCAGCTGATTCAGTTTGTACAGACACAGAATCAATTATAAGTTCAAGGCAAGGTAGAAGACATCACAAATACTCATCTAGAATAAATGGCCATCTTCCAAGGTTAGTAGATTATTATATAAATGATATTTGCTGATATTTTTTCATTTTTTAACACTTAGAGTATATGAGACTGCCTCTATTGTCAGTTCTGACATAGAAACTACAAGTTTTCAGTCTGAAACTACAGGTAGACATACAGCATTATCAGAATGTTCAAGTGTTAGCCGATTACATGTCGCAGGTCGTAAAAGACCTCAGAGGAGGCGGAAACAAAGATTACAGGTTTATTTTGCTAAATTACTGATATAATTATTTATAACCTTATAAATTTATAGGCTATGTCAAGAACTAGCTCTTATTCTAGTATTACGGATTCTACAATGTCTTTGAATATTATAACTGTCACTTTAAATATGGATACTGTCAATTTTCTTGGAATATCTATAGTAGGGCAAAGTAATAAAGGTGGCGATGGTGGCATATATGTAGGATCTATAATGAAGGGGTAAAGCAAAAATATGAAAAATAATAAATGAACATGATAGTAAAATAAGGGCATTTTAGTGGTGCTGTTGCTCTGGATGGTAGAATAGAGCCTGGTGACATGATACTACAAGTAAATGATGTAAATTTTGAAAACATGTCAAATGATGAAGCTGTGAAAGTTTTGAGAGAAGTGGTCCAAAAACCAGGGTATATTATATTTGTTTGTAGGTGCTTGTCAGATATAACACCCTCCGAATTTTGTACTTTTTTTTATATCACTCGAAAGCATACATCGAAATAAGTATTTCAAGCCAAAAAAAAGTGTGGATGATCCATAATTTAATGAAAAAATAAACATCTAATTATTGCTACAACAGGCTACTTTCTATGCGAAAACTCCTCCAAATTTTGTCGGCGTTGCCAGATTCATTCATTTCTTCTTGAAAGGTTCATTAAAAAAACACGTGCTGGTCGGAAGAAAACTCGCGTTAACAACAGATTATTTTAAAATCAAGAAAAGGCGATCGTCTGAGGAACTGCTCCTACCCATAGCTGATATTTTGCCTACGAGATCTGACTATTTATAACTACAAAGTTGCACGAAAGAGTTTTGATTGCGTTGGTTTCAACTTGTTTGGGGGTTAATCTGTTGTTTTTTTTATATTTTAATACGAATCTAAGTGCTTTCAATGTCTTGATTTTACAATAACTTATAATCTGTTCTTATGGTGACAGCGCTACTGTATAAGGATTTGTTCGTCCGGCGACCGGCACGTAAAATCAAGTGAAAGCAATCAGATTCGTATTAAAATAAAAAACAAATCAAAAGATTAACACACTCACGGAAAGGTTGAAACCAACGCAATTAAAACTCTTTCGGTCTCAACTCTTTTTTCGTATCATGTAACGTACCGAATGATCGAAAAAAAACGGCGTAAGCCATGGCTATGAAATGAACATCGCTGTCATTTTATATGTAAAATTATATGGGGAATGTTATCGATCGTCATTTCCAAGCCAGCTGAACGCCGTTTTTTTTTCGATCATACGGTATTATGTATCATACAAACAAGAAATAACTTTGGCAACAATGCTTAGGCAGCTTACATCCTTAACAACAAATGGTGACAGACGGCTCCGGCGGCAAGTTTGAATCGAAAGAGTAAATTGATCAGGCAAATATTACAAAAAATATCACCAGCTCTATTTTTGACTTATGACTTATTAATGCTGCTCACTGATTAATTCTGACCTTTATATTAATAAAAAATGCATATATCGTCATATTTTACAATAATTACAGGCTTATACAACTTCACCATAACCTAAAAATGCACTTTTAATTTATTTATTTTTCAATAAATTGTGGTTCATCCGCAATTTTTTTTTGCTTAAAATTCTTATTTAAGTGTATGCTTTCGACTGATATATAAATAAATGCCAAATTCGGAGGGTGTTATATCTGACAAGCACCTTGTTTGTATACTATTAATTAATAATTTCATAATTATTTTTAGGCCTATAAAGTTGGTTGTGGCAAAATGTTGGGACCCTAATCCGAAAGGTTACTTTACTATCCCAAGAACAGAGCCTGTTAGACCTATAGATCCAGGTATTAGGATTATATCACAACTAATGTTAATTAATTTTTGACAAATGTATTTTAATAAATTTTTAGGTGCTTGGGTTGCTCATACAGCAGCAGTTAGAGGAGACCCTGTGGCAAGGCCTCCTAGCAGTTCTACTGTATCAAGCACATCTATTGCAAGTACAATTCCCGCCAACGAACGTGAGTGTCTTCTAGGTTCTGGTAGGTATTTAGTGCAGCAATGCTTCGCTTGCAAATTCATTTTATTTGTAACTAATCTGCTGTAAACTAATTTTGTTCAGTAAGACGTTACCTAACATATATTACCTAATCATTTTTATTATAACGTAGGTAACTGTAGTTTGTCTAATAAAAGAATATACAGTATTAATAATAATAAATAATAAAATAATATACAGTCCCCAGATTGCCTTTATAAGAGGAAATACTTTTTTATTATTAACTTTTTAAGAAAAATGCATTTTTCATCAAAATTTTTCAAAATGCAAATGCATTTCACGCGTTTCTATGTTAATATTTAATTTTTTATTCTTTGTTAGAGGGTTATTATTAGAGAACAACGGCATACGGTCAAGTCGGCCTACTAGTGATGGGCAAAACTGTTATTTTTAGATAACAGTTGAAACTGTTATAGTTATTTATAAAAAACAGCTTAAAATAACAGCTTAAAAATAACAGGTTTCTTTATTTTATTGCTAAATATCTGAAAGAATATGAGGCGGTCACCGCCAGGCGTATTAACGCAGTTGCAACAATGACGTGCTCGGTGGTAGTATTTCCAGGGTGTCATAACATTTCTAAATATCGATTGTTATCTAAAATACCTCTCTAAAAACGGGGGTTGTTTACAAATAAGCGCTGTTTACAAATTGCGATATAAAAAAGCCAAAATGCCGCCACTCGTCTATATCTATAAATTCCGATCTACCTACGCCCTACCCCTCGATCCGCGTAGATTCTGAATTGCGTAGCAGTGTACAGGGTGCATCTCACTCGACGGGCGAGAAGCTCTTCGTTATGATTTTACCATTTGCGGTCAAAAAATAGCAATATAAGAAAATGTGTAGTATATTCTTCATAAGTAAACCAACTACACACTAGAGTTCGAATTAATTTTACACTTAAACTAGCATGTACAGTTTGACAAATATAGGAAGAGACTTGGGGATAGCACCGGTCGCGCACACGATAGAGAGAGAACGCATTCGGCGGAAGAGAGATGCAGTTACGCTACGAAAAATCTGATTGAAGCAAATTTGTGGGATGTCCACTGCGCATCGGGGGGCGTCTCTTATTTTATATTTCTCACGTCTCTAGCTATACTTGTTAAGTTGTACCCGCGACTTCGTTCGCATCGAATTATTAATTTGTAATGGTGATGATAAAGCAAAGCAAGAATTTCCATTAACATACAAACTGGATAAAATTTTCTCACATTTGCCAAAAATATGCTTTAAACGTCGAGCAGTTTAAGCAGAATCGTGGTTAATCAATTACTCAACTTTTTGGAACACCCTGTATTATTTTTTAAAAAATTTCAAAATATGTAAAAAAACAAAATAAATTATGCGTGTCCAATCGTTTTCCCGAAAGACTAACCGTTTTTTAAATAATAAATATTGTAATATTTGAGGGGCGTTTTCACCCTCTTGGAATTTGAGATTCGAGAAACCCCTCCTTATCGCACCTCTACACCCCACAGTCAATCCGTTTACCAAAAATCAGCTTTAAACGTCAAGCAGTTTAAGCAGAATAGTGATTACTCAGTGGTCATATTTTATGAAACACCCTGTATATATTTTGTAAAAATCTCAAAATATGTAAAACAACAAAATAAAATATACGTGTTTAAGAGTTTTTTCGAAAAACTCACCAGTTTTTAAATAAAAAATATTCTAATATTTGAGGGTGGTTTCACCCCCTTAGAATTTGAGTTTCGAAAAATCCCTTCTTATCGCACCTCTACACCCTAAAGTCAATCCGTTTTCCAAAAATCAGCTTTTTACGTCAAGGGCTTTAAGCAGGATCGTGATTAATCAATGACCAGATTTTTCAAAACACCCTGTATACATTTTTAAAAAATCTTAAAATATTATTCTGAAAATTTTTCAGAATAAATAAATACTTAAATATTGAAACTTAATAACAAAGTATTGAAACATACAGCGCCATAATATCTCGACCTCCGCCCGTTATGCTCGTAACAGGTTGAAAAACAATATGTATCTAAAACAACTGATGCGTTATTCTCCAACCTGTTTCAAACCTCCGATTATCTCGAACGCCGTTCTGTTATGCTCGTAACAGGTAAAAAAACAACATAGCTAAAACAACTGATGCGTTATTCTCCAACCCGTTGCGAGCCTCCATCGACAATCGACCGATGCAGCAGCGCTCCTTTCCCACTCCTGTTATCTCGACAGCCAGGCGTTATGCCCGCAACTGTTTCAAAAAAGCTGCTTCTTTTATATCCTATTATTTTTAAGCTGTTGTCAGCCCAACACGACGCGCCGCGCCGTAGCGCATACCCCACTCCGTTGTCCGTTGTATCTCGCCGCCTGTATCGATGGTTGTCGAAATAATAGGTTTTCCATCCATACTAGTTGTTTTTTGGAATTGCTTCGAGCAGCATCGAATTTCGTGGCGGTGCAGAGCGCCGACTTCGTTTCACGAACACTCGATCTCTGCGTGTCGTTATTTTATATCTGTTATTTTTTAAAAGCAGTAACGGTTGCGTTATGTTATTTCTAAATAATTGTTATAAAATAACAGAGAGTTAAATAACAACCCATCACTACGGCCTACAAACACGTAAACGTTTACGTACGCATGCGCATTTCTTATATTTTTTATTTTTTATACACATAAAAGATTCTTTACGTCTACGTCAGGGCCCAATCACTCTTATGGAGCGTTAAATTAGAAATTAACGATTCGCCCCACTATAGATGGCGCAACTAAAGTCGTGTATATTTGGTTGCCTGATTATTGCATATCAATTTTAAACGTTATGATTTGTTCGATTGACTCCCCACTCTTCAAACCATTAGTTGCCCGCGCTCAAGAACAGTTAACCGTTAACCTAATTTTAATTAGTTTACCGCTTTGAATAAGTAGACTAAGGAAGGAGCATATCAAAAATCTTAGGTACACCGCGATGGGCCTCAAATATGGCCGACTTAAATTCCGGTTTATCAGTGTCGTTCTAATTTTATTTAAAAAATGTAAAACTATGATGTAGGGTAGACGTGGGGTAGACTCAATAATTTGTTGTTTTATTTTACGTTGTGAATAAATGTTGGAAGTTATTAAAATTGTTATAAAAATATATAATTCTAATAAAAATAGATAAGTTATAATAAGTATTTATTAACACAAACATCCGATACGCTACTGAAGCAGGTAAGTCAAATTAACGTATCTAAATTCTTTGACATCTAATCTTTGACAAGTAATAAATAAAAGCTAAAATGCAAGAAAAATATATAATTTAGTTAATTTAAGTGAATTTCATAAATGATCGGTTTACTACACGTATGTATATTATATAGTCACTTACTAGTGAAAAGTTGTTCCATTATTTCACTCAATTTTTGCCGAGATCTACCGCACGCTACACAACCAACTATTTTAGAGTCTTTTTCGATAAATCACGATAGTGTCACTGTTAATTTAAGTTCTGCCACAATTTCCATCTAGATTTACTACCTTTATACAACTATCAGTAGTAGAATAAATAATAAATAACATAAAATAAGCTCCGTAAAGACTGACAAATCCACAAAATTTCAAATCAAATTCAAATGTGTCAAATGAATTATCAAACAGAACTGTCAAGGATCCCCACCCTAAAGAGCTTTTATGGTGGCTTTTCCGCCCATCATGCATGAATACATGGATAGCATTATGCTCCTTCCTTAGTCTTCTTATTCAAAGGTTTACCGTTCTTGGCCCGCACTCTTACGGTCGCGTGTCGCGTCAGTTTTATACGAGCGTTCAGCGTTCGCGTGTGTTGTTTGTTGTTTGGCCAGTTCCATTTTTCGTGTCTCGTCTTTACTTGTGTATCTGTCTCGATATTTATCCCGATAATAAGAATTCAATCGAGCAATTATGTTCTAATATGTTTAGATCTAAAAAAACGACACAAAAGTAATAAATATAATATAATTAATTAATGTGTTTTATTTATTTAAAATAAAATTGTTATTACTCTGAATGGGCACCTAATTAAATAAAAAAATTCAATATAGGTTCACGAGTAGGCCCGTGAGCCTATATTGACATTTTTTATTTAATAATAAGATGCCCATTCGGATTAATAACAATTCTGAATTAAATATGAAATTAAAATTTGATTTAGCGGGGCGAGGAGCGAGGGGAGTGTACATAATTTAACCTTGAAGCCCTGAGCCGCACTCGGCCCACTATAGATGGCAGCAAAAATTTTGTTCGCTTTTTTATTACATTGACTGATCGTTCTGTAGTTATTCTGTGGTCTACGTATATGTGCCAGCAGCGGCCGACTCGACCGTATGCCGTTGTTCTCTATTAATGTCGATTAACGGTAGTATTTTTTACTGTAATTTTAAAATACATTTATTTACTTCAATGCTACAGAAAAAGTGATTATAAATTTTGTGTAATAACATTTTAAAATGGCAAATATAACACTTTAATTGATATTAATGATAAACCTAGATTATGTATACTTACGTGGATAAGTAAATAATTAAATAACATATCAACGACGTACTTATTCTTATTTCTCTCTTATTTCTTTGTTACACCAGTACTGCTACTCTATTCTTGGTCAGGAACGTACTTTTTCTCTGGCTTTTAGCCATTTTACTCCAGCTTATAGCCATTAAAGAAAAAGTTCTAAAAATGGATGTTTTGTGATTGAGATAAAAGCTTGAAAATCAAAATAAAAACTTAAAAAATAAGGGTGTATTCCGTTGCTTACCTTGGTTATGGTTTTTATGTTCCGTTTCTATCGGCTTGCTGAAAGTTTTCTTATTACGGAACACGGTTCCTGAAAAATTCGGTTATAACTGTCACCAAACTAACCAGCGCGAGAAGGCTGGTTTTTCCGGTTTTGTTTGTTAATCAGTGTCATTTATGTCAAACTCTTAGCGAAACCCGCTTTGCGGATGAAGGTAGTCTCACTGAGGAGCATTACACCTTCTTTTGGAAGGGTCACC